AAAATATTTTGTACAGTGGCAAACCACACTATAAGAATTTGAGATTAACAGGACTAACCCTGAAGTTCCATTAGATGTAGTTTACAAAACCAAAAAGGTCATAAATAATAAATACAAAAATCATCTCCCTAGAGTTAGTTTTAGGTGATTCTAAAAGATGACACCAATATGAATAATTAGGATGTAAATCAAGCTGAAAAGCCTGAATATTTGATTAGTGATTTAGCATAAACTTAGTCAAGTATCTTCATGCTGCTTTGTTGTGGTTGAATTAAAACAGATTCCAGAGTCTTCCTCTCCAGAAATTTTTACATGACCTTTCAGTTCTCAAGAGCATCACAAGAGGGACAGTTCCATCAGATTATCTCTGGATTTGAAAGACAGTCTTATAAATTGAAGCTGAAACTAATCAAATTAATAATAAAGAAACTTTTTCACTATAAGAGATTCTACATTAGTATCAAATAGATTCTCTGTTCTGTTGAAACGATGAAAAAGCATCAAAAAAGAAAGTGTTGTAGTTTAGTTGGCATTTAAATGGTTGAAATGCAAACTTCCAGCTACCTCACTGTTGTAAATTGCATATTTCAAGGAGCTGAGGTGAAATCCAGTTCCAAGACTTGTGTGACAATTCCTAAAGTTCTTGAAAAGCCATGTGTTGTAGCTCAAGCCAGAAGGTTTTAAGCTGAATGAATGTTCAGGGTTATTGTGAGTATCAGTACAACTAGATTTCAGGCCATTTGAAAATATTGAAGTACATCTTGATTGTGTACAATTCATGCTTTAAATTAAATTCATGTTCAAGTAATTTTTATTCTATGTTCTACTTTTGCAGCTTCTGAGTTAGGAGTCATCTTTCTTCACTGAGATCAGACACACAGTGATTGGTATCTTAAACATGCCTCCTTCTTCAGCCCTCAAGGTCTGTTGAGTCATCCACTGGGATGGTTATGATCTAATTCAGAATTGATTGCACAGTGTATAGCTTAAGTGAAATATTAAAATTGTTGCTCATTGTTTCCTAAACAGAAGCAACAGTGTCTTGAAAGAAAACCATGATACCTGTTTCTTTGCAGAACCAAAGAACTTGATTAACCAATCAGAACTTGATTAGTTTCTTCAACCTATGATAAAAAAGTCAAATTCTTGAGTTGGTAAAAATGGCTAATACCTTGTTTTCAAGAACTGCACATAGCTGAAGAATACTTCCTAAATAGAAGGACTGGAATGCTTGTTATGCATGGATTTTTCAAATATAAGTTGAAAGTTAAATCCATCCTGAAATGGTTCAGATAAAGAACCTGTAATGTGGTCAGTGTTTCTGAAATTATAACAGGTATTTTAGAGGTTTAAGTATTAGTAGGAGAAAATTAAGACAAATACCTCTGTCAACAAAATATGCTCCTGTCATAAGAGACCAGCAAAGAATTTCTCATGTTCTAATCATCACCCCACAGCCAAAAAAAAAAAATTAAAAAAGGAAAAAGATAAGACAAAACTGTAGATTTTCCTTTTGATCATATTACTCTCTCACAAAAAAATGTGTATACTTTTCTTCATTTCTTGTATGACAAGGTGAACCAGAAGTTTCTAAAGTTTATGTGATAATCTATCCCCATTTTAGTGAACAGTAAGCTGAACACAGACTTGAGTGCATGAATATCTTGTTCCCTAGTTTTGCTTGCTCATGTGGTATTAAGTAACTGCATGATCTGCAACTAAAAGGTAATTGTTTCTTTATGTGTGTAATGCTAGTGCCAGATTTTATACCCCTGTCAGAAATCCATCAGAGTATGAGACCACCAGACTTTTTTCACAGAATTAATCAGATGTTTGTCAACCTATTTTCTCTCTTTCTTTCATTCCCCGCTCATTACTAATTATGACTGAAGTTGTGAAGTAAGGATATAAATTATATATATCACATTAATAAACTTACGAACTATCAGATTTTCTTGCTTTTAGACTTTCTGGCTGGAATTAAGAGTGATCAAATTTTCTATTAAAGTACGCTAATAAAAAATATCCAGAATTTATTAGTAATCACTTTAATTTGTAGAGTATCTATCATTCTGGAGTTTATTGATCCAAGCTTTCTTATTTTGGTTTAGTTTTGGCTTTGATGGTGTGTGTTTTTTTTAATACTTCCAATCACGCATCTTGATTTCTGCAGGGCTAAATATTATGCTCTGTTATTGCTGATCATTTTCTGAATAGTCTCACAAACTTTGGTGATCACTCTGGTTTTCATCCTAGTGTGAAACTGTTCTTCATGCATCAAAACATTGAGAACCTTTTCAAAAGCACTAACTAAATAATATATGTTGTCAATTTCTATGAAAAACTGTCCAAGTAGCCACTAGCCAAAACTTCAAATTCTGCACTGCTAGAGAAATGTGATACTGTAAGAAATTATTTTGAGAGCTAGGACTGTTGCTTTCTTTTGTAGAATATAAAAATAGTGTGAAGACATAACATACAATGTTAAAAACAGGAGTGAAAAATAATACCTTAGGCTTTATGTTTTGTGGTAAAAAGCTAATGATTGCATTGAAATCACAACTCAGTAAAACTGAATTTTTGATTCAGCATCACAGAGCTGAGGCAAGTGGCATGCTCAGTGTTAGAGTCTGAAGTTATGAAGGTGATGTCATTGAAGCTGAACAGCAACCAGTGAGGCTGAAAGCTCAACAGTGATGACTAAAGTTAAAAAGCAACAACTGAAGCAAAAATCGTGTCAATGTGAGGGAAGCTTTAGGGGTAATGATGTGAGACTCCAAAAGACACCAAAAAAATTCAACACAGTTCAGCTGGTTGCAAATCTAAAATTCTAAGTTGCAGAGCAAAAAGTTACTTTTGTGAGGCTGTTCTTTCTGATGGTAAGAAAAGTGAATTAAACTCATGGTCTGGTAAGAAAGTAGGAACTAAGTCACAGAGTGGTTGTCTGCCAGATGGCTTTTTAGTGTGTAGTTGGTTGGTTTGTTTGTTTCTCAGAAGCAACCAGGTAAGGGAAATAGTAAAAGATCACATTATGTGCAATGTCGCATGAGATAATCAAGCAAATAAATTCCATTTACAAAGCAGTCCAAAACCTCTGCAAAAAGTAGCACTTCCCAGAGAGGCTCTGGTGAGTTCCCCTCACATCTTAGAGTTGTGTTGTTTTTTTTTTTTTCCATGACTCAGTTAATCTAAGAACAAAACCACTGTAATAAATCTAAGTGAGGGATTGGTAAAATATGCTACATTAGAGACTTTTCTTAATAGGTTAGAAATCCTGGGATTTTTTTTCTGTCATTCTTGTTGCAGCTTCCTCATTTAATTAATTTTAATGCTTTTGTAACTTTTGAAAGCAGAGAACTGAATGATTCTCTTGACATTCTTTCCAATTCTTTTTTCCTACTTGAAGCATAGCAGCAGCACAGATTTCCAGTCTCTTATGCTCATGAATCTGAAACTTAACAGGCAAAATTTTTAGAAAGTAGTTTTTGCATTCCCTTCCAGTTTGCATAGTCTCATGGATTCCAGGGTTAAATTTTTTTCCCAATATTTTGTGATAATTTTTTTTAATATTTTGTCAAGTCCAGTAATAAGCTTCTAGAAAACTTTAATATAACTATTTATTCATGAGAGTGACTGTATGCATTGCACTTTGTGTGCACGTATGAGAAAGTAATTTGTACTACTAGTGTGTTTCTAGTGAGTGTCTAATTTAGTACTGTAGGTAGATGTCTATATCAAAGAGGTGGTGGTAAAACATATTTCTGTGACGTTGCCTATTGGGTGAGATGGACATCTGCCTCCTTTCAACATCAGTGTTTACTTTTGTTAATCCTGTTATTCTTCATTTGACTTTTCTCATTCTCTGTATTTGAAAGTCTCAAATCGGAATCAGGCTGCTAATCTCTGAAGTGCGATGATGTTAGAGTTGGCATTTCTAAATTCCTTCGATCACGGTCAGCTTAATGGAAAGTGTATAACTGAAATTTCAGATGTCTTTGAGCATTTTGTTCTAATTTTGAACATTTCTAACATGAAAAATGTTAATATGAATATTGATAGGGTTAGTGCAAGTATTGTTTATGGATGTAGCATGTTTGAAGTATTTCCTGTGCATTATCTATGTGCGTAAATAGAAACATCTTAAAGTTTGTAGTTGTCCTGCTACCTAGCCCTGAGGTAAATAATGCTTAACTATCCAACCTTATTCAAGAGTCAGTTAACTCTAGTGAAGTTTGTTTTTCCTGAAATTGTGTGACATTGCTCCCATAATGCACTCCTGCTTCAGTATGGCATTCAGGCGTGCCTCTTCAGAACAGATGTTGTGCACAGCAGTAACCGTTCCTTTTTGTTTATACAGTTTCAAGTAAACAATTAAGTGAATGGTTTAAGATCTTGCTAAATTAGTTAAATTGTTTTATTGTTATGTACTTGTTCACATTTGTAACAGTTATAATGAGACAATAAAACACTGAAAGTGACTGAGGACTTTGCCTCTGAGATGTTTCTCTGCTAAACTATTAAGCAATATGACACTAAAGAGGGAGCTAATGTCTTATCTAAAAGCAGAGGAAGATAAAGCAGTCCAACTGCTTCAGTTTGCATCAAACAACCAATGATTTGTGTGCAATAACACTGAATGATTTCTGGTTCTTATACTTTTCATTTTTTAAAATCCTTTACTACCAATATACAGAATATTGTAAGATAATGGGGAATAGCTATTTGCATAACTGTCCAAAATTTGTGTCCTACTTGACGACTTGTCCTTTAAAGTTTCTTGAACCTTCCTTCTTTTTTAATCTAGATTGCACAAAGAAAATCTTACTACACATTTTTGCTGCAGGTGAGTGTATTGGTACGATACAGATTGAGATATGCAGTTTTATATATAAATAATTTCTTTCATTTTATGAACTTGAAAGCTTTAGTTCATAGATGTACTTTTGTGGCTTTCTGAGGTATCCACACATCTGCTGTTTTCCTTGACAATGGCTATACAGATGCTGCTATCACCATGGGAATGGTACTCCTAAATGAAGCTGCTACCTCCAAAGGGGATGTTGGAAAAAGGAGAAGTAAGTTATTTAGTACAACTAAGACAATATTTAGACAATTAGATGACATTGAGAAATTACAAATGAATATCTGATTAAGTTTTTCAGAAGGTCTCTACCTTAAACCAATTTTTAAATTTTGTGGAGTGGAGAAGAGGAGAGTATAAAAATTCTGTTGATAAAATGGCATTCACATGAAGTTGTAAAGGTAAAAAAATGATTAAACATACTCAGCCAAGGTACAGCTTGACTCAGTATCTCCACTACATAGTACTACATAAATGCTTTTTGGCTCTTGAATTGCATTGAAAGTCAGTGACATAAAGAACGAGAGTTTCAAAACATTGTTTTCATAATTAATTTAGGCATTTAAGATGCTTAAGATGACAACATCCAAAGGAGTGTGAAAATTCTTTTACCTCATACGCTTTGCCAGTATCATGTCTCCAGAGGAAGGGGAGAACCCAACAGTAGATGTAATACAGAACATATCCTATTCTGTAATGTCTAAAGATTCTAGCCTGAAGTGCAAGTTTTATTTTTTTCTGAATGTTGTTGTCATTCAGAATATTTTGCAAGATTTTTGGCAATGAATTGCATAAACACATGATATGAAAGTATTTTATCCAGGTTTAAACTTCCTAAGTGTTATGTCGAACAAACTTCTATTGAGTACGACATAGGTTGAAACAAATATGCCCATCTGCCTTTGGACCTTTTATAACATGCTTTCTCATATTCCCTGCTACTTTGTCTTTTTGTCATATAAGGCATTGAGACGACCTTAGAAAGATACCAGACTTCCTATGCTCCTTCCCCTTTCTTTCTAGATCAGTTCTTTTGCTTCTTCTGTGTAATACATAGTATTGCAGATAAGGCTGACCAACTGTTTTCTATAAAAGCATTCTATAATTCTTTGTAATAGCTGGTTGAATGTTGGCTAGAGATCTGTAATATTTAGTGATTTGAGCATCTCCTTCAATGAGTTGTAGATGTATAATTTAATCCTGAATATCTTTTACGGTGTCCAGCTTTAATACTGACATAAAAAGAGACAGTGCATAAGTTTGATTGGAATATGATCTTAGATCACGATGGAGATCTGAGTCTGTGGACATGGACACAAATAACAGTGGGCAGCAGAACGAATTCAGACTCTCCTCTGCTTGTGCCCATTATGTGAATCCTTTCTGTGTACCTGCCTTGCACTGTTCATGCTTCGCAATTTATTCATCCATGCTTTGAAATCGTATTTGTGAATGGTGATTTCTTTATAATGGAGTGCGTTTATAGGATTCGTACATGGCTAGTTTTCTCAAAATGACTGCAGAAATTTTATATTTCAGTTGAAGTATGTCAGTTTCCACATGGTCAGTTTTAATGAAAAAATGCGACATTGTCAGTTTCCCTGGCTTCATGGTTGCTCATCCTTCGCTTAAATCCAGCACACATTTGACGCATGAATATTGCAATTAAATAGCAAAGGTTTGGCTAAAGTAGGAATAGTATAAGAAAAGAAGCCTTTAAAATCAAAGTAGCTCACTAGAACCAAAACATCAGTTAATGTAGTTGAGCTGCATCTCAATTACATGCATCAGCTTGTAACATGTTGTCTTTTTTTAATATTTGTTTACATGCAATTGAGCAAGCTATCATGATCGAGAAGGTTTTATGCTATTGTTACACAGGGTACCAACTGATGTTCCAAATTTTATTAATTTAAGCATTTACTTTGCTGATTCATTGTTTGCCTAAAAATGCTCGAAGTGCTTGCCTCTGGATGCTATCAGAAGGTCTATGTCATTGTTATTTATCTTCAAAGCCTAAAGATTTAGATTGCTATCAATTTAAAAGAAAAAAGTGATTTGGCTACCAGCCTTGGAACTTAACAACAGTGAAATGTTTTAGCCACTAAGATCTAGATAAAGTAGTTACTAAACTGTCTTTGCTGTTACTTCAGCCTTAGATGGTTGACTAGAGAGAACATGATTCCAGTAGTCAAGGGATATTTTTCGAAATGCAATTTGTTTTCCAAAAAGAAGCAGCGAATACCTGAAATGACATTGCTCGATATGTATAATTTACAGGGTTATTAAATCCATTATCAGCAGTAAGGTGTTTGCATCCACAGACATTTGAGTTGCAAATTGCTGCTCTTTTTTCTTGAAAATACATTCACACTGACAAGTTATTTTTTCTTAATAAACATAAATATTATTTCCATATGTGTTTGAAATCCTGTCAGAAGATAACGGGCCTCAGTAGTCAAGGCAGTAACGTTTTTGTATTTAACTATGTCAAAATTCTCCATAAGTGATTGACATAAATAATATTCTTTGTAGAGAATCCAGTTTAAAATCTTTTACGTGCTAATAAACAAAGTTATTTTCTTTCCAGTAATATGTCTGGTAGGCCTGGGTCTGGTGGTCTTTTTCTTCAGCTTCCTGTTGTCAATATTCCGCTCCAAATACCATGGCTACCCATACAGGTAATCTCCCATTAAATTATCATCTTATACATTTTAATAGCTTTGTATAAGTTTAGGAATAGCCTTCAAGTAAACAATCTTTAATTTTTACCACGGAAGTCTATGGGAGCTGGAATAAACAGAAAGAATCATGATTAATTCAAGCAAACCAAAAAGGGCTGAAAAGCTAATGTTGGTAACATGACTGTTAATGCAGACCACTTAAATGGGTTTGACCAGAGATGTGTGGCATATGCAGTGCCTCTGAAAAATGCAAAAGAAAACATGTGCTTGAATTTATAAACCTTTATTAGATATTTATTCCTGTATCTTTATAACTATGATGTACATAAAACAAGGCACAAAAAACCACAGTGTACAGTGCTAAGCTGTGATTTATGACTAAAAGTACCCTCTTAACTTTTGTTGGCCATAGCAGAGAGGAAAGAAAGGGCTGTAGTCTTTCTTAATTATATGTACAGCTGTCAATTGAACAGTAATAATTTCTCTGAGAAGCAGAAAAAGAAAAATAGTAAAGAAAATACAGGCTTTACCTTTTGTAGGTGGATGCTTTTAGCTAGGATGTCAGCTACAGAGGTAGTCTAGACTTCTGATTCACATCTTGCTGATCTGTTATATATTTTTTTGGTAGCCTTTGAGGAACAGATGGCCCATAATATTTTCTTGTAATCCTGGTACCATTTTCAGATGTACATGAAAAAGCCTATCTAGAGGAAAAGGAAAGGTGCAATTAAGCAAATCTTCAGTGCTGTAGTAATGATGAGCCAGGCTACTGAGGTAAAAGCAATACAGTTTTTAATACAGCAATTCCCAAGTCATCGAGACCTGTTGATTTTTCTCTCCCAAAGTTTTGTAGGATGGCTAAATATTTTTAATGAGGAAGAGTCCTTTTGCTGTTGTTCTATTTTCCAGGCTTAGCGATTTTGTTCTATTGACTTTTGACCTTATTTGAAACTATGCTGTTCTTGCCATTGCCTCAGTCTTTGCTTCTTTTAACTTTTTTTTTTTCCCATAGGGAAATATATATACACACATATGTATATAAATATATATATTTATACAGTTGACATGGTCTTGACATGCTATGCTAGGCTTTACAATAGAGGTAATATGCATGAGTGGTGTTTTTCCCCCTCTAGTTGGCCACAGTGCATTTAAAAAGATGAGATTTTCTTTATTTCTGGTGAAATTGGTTCCTATAAACTAGTAGACTAATCCTTCACAGAATATTACAGGCTACATTACTGTTACCCTGTGTGGAAGACTGAAGTGGATGACGTGTGTTTCAATGTAGATCAAATAACATTTTACTGAAAGAGCCAGCATGATGAAATGTCAACTAATATATACGTAAGGGAAACATTAGTACAACAGATTCAGAAATTTATATTTTGAACTGAGTAGAGAACAAACATTTTTTTACAGCCACTGTTCATTAATCATATGAAGAATACTTCTACGGTTTTTCTCAGATACTTCTTAGCATTGATTTCTATGACCAAATCGTGTGATTAGTGCAGCAGCCAGCTTTATGTTCTGTGCTATGTTCCACTAGTAAGGATTCAGCCTTGAGAAGCCAACTTAGATCTAACATTTGAACTAATACATAAAATTTATCTAGTAGTTTTTGCTGTGAGACTTAAGAACTGTTTTCATTTTTACTGAGATGGATCTCTTTATGCAGATTAATTGGCATTTAGTTTAGATCACCTCAGACATACTGAAGACAAGGAAACTCTTCCCCTTGCAATACGCACAGAAAGCGTGCTCCTGCTCTTAACTCATTTCTGCTAAGGAAAGAGGTCTGTAATAGTATGGTATTGCAAGGTTTCATCAGTATGGAGTTAGTAGTTTACCATCTAGGATGGTAAACTCTCAGCATCCTCTCTGGAGACTGCCTTCTAGTTTGACTGACTTGGGGTGAAAGACAGGATCCTCTTTTCCTAAGTGTGAAGTATTCTTACTTCCCATTAAGTGCTTAAGTCTTAAACTTAAAAGGAGAAGAAATTATGAGCTTGATCTGCAGCTTGTAAGCTCACTTGAGAAGCACTGCCAAAGAATGTCAACCCATGGTCTGAGCTCAGTTGCATCTTCTCATAACAAGTTTACTAAAAGGAAAAAGCAGTTGTTGTTGTTGTGTTCATTGCCATGCAATTTAACAGCTACTAAAGAAAATCTAAGTTGTATTAGTTTCATTTTTAGTTCTTTCATCTTAGGAATGTTCTTATCACTTATTAACAACATACTTATACGACTGTGCTGATTTCGAGATCTTGCATGGCTTTTGTGCATGTTTATAGTAGGTTTTTTTTGGCTGCTGTATGATACTTTAGATGTCTGAGGTTAAACAATACCTTGCGAACATGACTTTGCTCTGTGAGTTGGCATGCCTACACAATACCATTGATGTTATTGCAGATGTAATTGCTTAATTTATTACACATCTGACTGTATTATAAACTTTAAGAACCTCAATTTAAGTAATATAGGGGTTTTCCCTCTTTTCTTGCTAATTAGTTTGGTGTAAATTTTGGGTGGGACAGATTTCATTTTTCCTTCCCCCACAACTGAACCTGTCTTTAGTGAAATATCAGACATCTTTTGTCTGGAATATCTAGCAGAAGTTAGAGCCCTATGTAGATTTGTAGTCTCTGTTAGTACCCAAGCTAAGAATAAAGGACATCAAGAACTGAGGGCAGGGGAAGGGAGGGGAAGAAGAAGAGAAAGAGAACTTCTGAATTCTGTTAAAAGTTTTCAAGAAATTTAAGTTGATATGCAATGCATGTGACAAAAAAGTGCACCTGTTAGTATGCTAAAGCTGGTGAAGAAAGAAACAAAAGAAATCCAAGATAGTGCTGAAAAGAATGATTCATCACAGACCTGTTAAAATGAGATAGTGCTGCATCATGTTGTTACTATGAAGGAATTATTAGATCCATAAACCAAATTCTGTCTTAAGGAGCTAAGTAGATTAAATATCACAACTTACTAATCAGTAACACCCATCAGGTAAATTTATAAAAGAATGAACCCTGTGGATGCATAAGTACATGAGAAACATTTAAGAGCTGGCTAAGTGTTCTGCAGTTTTCTTTAGTTTTTCTGTAATGCTACTGCCTCTGTAGAATTAAGCAAGGTCTTACTTGGACTGTCTTATATTCTTCATGTTTTCATGGCAATAAATTAATCATTCAATCTTAAATCCTCACTCAATGCAGGATTACTGGAAACCGTTACTAGAACTGATCCTTTTGCTTTGCTATTATCAAATTTCATTTGCTAGTTTCCCAAATGTGTAATTTACTTATCTGGTCCTTTCCAGTGTTAAACCTTTCATGTTTCTGTTGGTCTCTGGGGTAGCTCTGACCTCATTTTCTGTAAATTGTAAATAAACATACTCTTGATTCTTTGAGACTTCAGTGATCTCAACCATGTCATGTTCATGACAATGCCATAGTGTTTCTTAAGAAAAGCTTCTTTGGTTTGTGTGCATAGTTCTTATGAATTTTAATGAAGTGCATATGGAGAACACTAAGGATGACCAAGTATATAGGCTGTTATTTTCTCTTCCCACTTTTAATTTAATAGCCTACATTTTAACTTCAGTCATATATGCCAATATATATTAATCTTTTTGTCTGAATTCCTTGGGATCTGCCAAGGACTTCTGCATCCCATCAACTGATTCCAGAGTAGATATATCTTAAGATGTGAAATATGTCTGTCTTTTTACTTTCACTGGTTGTAGATTTCACCTTGAAACTATCAGTCTTTATGTGATAAATTGTCCTCAGGCTAGTAAAGCTTTGCCTTTAACAATACTAACAACAACGCATACTAATAATCTATCAGAAAAAAAGAAAGAATATTTATGTTGGCATGCCTAAAGCAATAAAGAAAACTGAAATTGTTTTAATGCTATATGCACAATCTGAAGCATCAAATTCACTGTTCTACCTAAAAAAAAAAAAAAAGTCAAATATACTAAATTGTTTCTGTTCTCTGGCACTGAACAACCATATAAGTCCTCTGTGAAGCAGCATGCATCAATAAAAACTGAAACAGTAACACAACCTGCTGTGCATCCTCTTTCTCTCCAATGACCTCCATGTAGTGAAGATAAATCAAAACAGAGGTGGATAAACGTAAAGCAGGAGTCAAAAACCGGAGAAAGACTGTTATTTCCTTTTCTAATGTACATAAATAAAAGTACTGGGAATGCTGTTATTTCTTTGACCCTGGTACTGCCATTGTCACTGTTAATTTCTGTGACAAACAGAAAAGCGTCCAGAGGAGAGGTAGATAAGAGCACGGGTCTCTAAGTGTGCTCTTTAGAGGGCATGTATATAGGAAGGGAGAGTAACATTTTGTTTACATTTTCTTCATCCGCTTCAGATGTTTTCCAATTAGGTTTTTGATTCTTCTTTCCACAGAATCTTCTTGAAGTCTAAGGTTGGAAAAAAAATGGTTTAATTAATATGCTGGTAAAATACCCGTATACAATAAAGCATTGAAATGGGAGAGGTGATGCAAAATGGAGGTCATCATGAAGGTTACTTACTGAGCGAACACAATCGTGATGGATGAGCTAGAATGTAACAAATCTCTCTGCTAGAGCCATTTTTACTGTGGCAGGGCTTTTTCATGCCTGTACTAATCCACCTTTTTTTATGAGAACTAGATGAAATTTTTCATCTTGCTAAAACTTTCATTTTAATTGCTGTCATTAACTGTTGAAAGATAATGCAATAATTTTATTTTACACTATTGAACATTTTTCCCTTCATAATGCTTTCTGGATAAGACAAGAGAGTTGATATATCTGAGAGAATCTTTTTTGTAAGTGTTCTCACCCCAGTATTTAAAATGAGAAAATGATATATTAAGTATCAAATTCTCAGTGATTGAGCAATAAAATTTCATTATGTCAACACAGAATTTTATCTCTCAACTAATACACATGGGAATGACAGAGAGACTATTCTTAACTGTAAGCCAAAAGCATGAACTCAAGTTAGCTTTGCTAGTCAGGGAGGAGCTTGGAGGGTTCTCTGGAAACCTCACTTTAGGCAGTTTAAGTCAAAAAGCACACAAAATATTAAAAAGAATAAGGATGGTAAGACAACGACAGAAGACATCAGTACAGTAGCACAGTATATTACTAGGAACATTAGGAATGTATATATTTGTAAGACTTTTTTCTTCAAGAGGACAGACAGATAAAAATCTTATGCACTGTTTACTGATGTTAAAAAAACTCTCAATTGTTTTTTTTTAGCTTTGGCTGAAATTTAACTGCCCTGTGTTCTGCTTTGTTTTCTGAATGAAACTTTTAGCACAGTTTCATTATTGTTCACACTTCCAATGGTCCTTTCAAGTCTACATTTGCTGTTGTTTGAATTTAAATTATATGAACACCTGAAAATTTAAAGTTTTCATATATGTTTTCATTAATTAGCTTGCATTAAGTAGCCTTTCGAAGAATTTTTTGGTACCTGCAGTTGAGCGTTTTGTTATCAGATTATCCTTTATAGCCATTGTGTTTGGGTATTATTGAAAAGAGTAATGTGAAGAGTTTTTAGTTAAACCATAAAAAATAATCAGCCTTTAGAACTATGTATTGGCAGAATGGAAAAATATGTATTCTGTATTGACTAGCAGAGATGATGAACTAAGCTGCAAGAAAACATGATAAATAAAAGATGCCTTATTTTCATAAAAAAAACATAAATGTTAAGTCAGACATGAAGTATTCATTCATTGCTTAGAGAAATACAGTCAATGCAACAAGAACAGACAAATTGTAAGATACCTCACAGCTTGAAAATTCCTTGGATTCACTATATACACCATATAAGAAATGTCTGCCCTCACAGTAATTAAATTAATTTCACTAAAGAAATCTTGTATAATATTGAATAATTGAAATTAAATGCAAGGAAATAAAATGGAATAGTTATTTCTTGAAAATATACTGGTAAAATATTAGTAAGTAGAACAGATAGTATTTGCAGACATATAAAATTAAATTTATTAATAAACGTGAGCACTAGTAACAACTGTTCTGATGTTCCATGTTGACTTCATGCATAATAGAATTGATTCACCTAAAGTCTATGAACTGGTAAATCTACTTCTGATAAGCACCAAGATTCACATTCAAGTCTATGATGCTCAGCAAAATAGGTTACTTTCTTCAAAACAGCAGAAATCAGGATTATTTTAAAAGACAGGAAAACAGTAATACACAGTTGTCAAAACAAAGCATCTTACATTAGCTTTTTCTATACTAATTCTCTTTTTGTGGCTAGACACCATGTTCTTCAGAGAGAAGCTGCCCATTGAAATGGAAGGCAAAACAGCTCAATGTCTCTCTTTATCCAACAGCACACTGAATTCATGAATATCCACAGGCCTCCACATTCCTCTCTGTGCAAATTGTCCACATTCAGTGCTGGTTTCTAGTCCTTTAAAGAATGGGAGATCTGAATTCCAGGTGTCTGGCCCCATAGCAGATCTCTTAAGGGCGTGGGTCTTCCTGTGGCAAAGTTTGCATACTGTTCTATGAGTAGGACTTTCCTCAATGATTGCCACTATTAATCATGCCTCTTTTTGCTTTTATGGCTTTCCTGTAAGTCTTACAGTTTACCATTTATTCCTACCTATTCTAAGCCTTTCCAGTTAGTTAATGTCTGGAATGGCACAGTTTGGCCATCCTTTCCTGTTCTGCTTTCCCCTGCTTCGCGTAGGGGGACATGATTTCTTTTTTGAGATCTTTTTTGCAGATCTACCCCAAGGGATGTTGTCCAATTTGCTATTCTAGATTTTTCAGAAACCCTGTCCCCCTACCTCCCCACCTTCTTCTCTTTGGCAGCTCTCTAGTTTATGATGGTTTTTATGGTGTTTTGTCTTTTTGTGGTTTTCCACCTTGGGCTTTTTCCTTCTTTGTGTATCTAGCCTCTTAAACTTGTTTTATAACTTCCATATAACTTTCAGTGTTTACATCATCTATATGCTATATCATGTCTCTCAGCTGCTAAAGATGCAGTTTACTTGCAGACAGAAAGTAACAATAGATATGGTAGTGGCATATTTAACCGAAGTGACACTGCTGTATTTTTATTTCCTACACTTATATCATTCAATCTTTTACCTCTCCTCAGCCTATCAATCAACACAATCTGCCTGATTATTGTAATCTTCAACCCTTCCTGCTCTTCCTCCCAAACTTTTTTACTACCAGTATTCCTCCTCTCTCTTCTCCTCTTAATTCCTTCTTTCCTATTCATCACCTTACACAGCTATTCTAGACTTGGGTTATCTTTTTAGTCTCATGTGCTCAGCGTTTTCTTCTCCACTCGACAATTCACCTTTTTGTGCAGTTGCTCTTGCTAGCTTTTCCCTTTGAACAATCACTTCACCCTCCAGCACCCAGCCAGTTGCCATCTGTTTTGTGTTGCTTTGTATGTCTTGCCTAATGAGCTTGTCAACTTTTTGCAGCAGGGAACATCTTTATACTGGTACAGTCTTTTAAGCTTATGGCACTTGTATTTATGTTTTGTAATGATTAATTAATTATACCATGAATGGAAAACTGATGAAGTTACTACAACGTGTGTATGCTAGACCACACTGCATAGCTATGAGGATATGAAAGATCTTTCATGGGAATCTAGAGGCAGTGAAGAAGCCCTTCCATTCAGTAGTTCATTGCTTTTGTGTTTGTACAGTTAACTCAGTCTATAGTCCTACACAAGTGTCTCTCTCTGTGTTCCCGTTTCCCAATTTATGAGATACCTCTTCTTTGGTAAAATACCAGAAAGGTAAGGCACACAATATATATCTACTTTTTTAAAAATATAAAGTTTCATTCCAGGGATAAAGAAACAGCAGTGTCATCTGAAACTCCTTCGTTTATTAAAATATTAAGAATTGAAGAGTCTGCAATCCTTGCCAAGTCCTCTATACCGTCTCCACTCTGGGGCCACTTCAACAGTAAAAGAAGAATGCTTTAAATAAATCTGAAACATCTCCTGGGAGAGTAGTTCTCACTTTAAGTAGTAAGAGTAGATGCAGAATTTGATTAAAGAGAGCAGATGTTTGAAGTACATTTTGCTTTTTAATTTTTTAATAGGCAAATTTAAGTTTCAGTCACTCAAGTTTTATTTGATAACTTTCATGCTTGCTTAGTAATTACTAAATGGGATATAAAAACTTAAGAGATTATTACACAAATGTCAAATGACTTTTCAAATGAATGTTTTTAAGTCCTTGTTTATTCTTTTCAAATAATTGCGATGCTATGTTTTATATTCATTTTTCAACATTTAATAATGTTTTCTTTCTTTTCAGCTTCTTAATTAAATGAATTCAAGAGGGATTCATTTAGAGCTGCTTACCGTGAAGATAAGCTAAAACTGGTATTCTTTGCCCACCAATGTTACATATATTCAAGAATCCTTTGTTGGTTCATCTGTTTTTGTGATAATTTATATAGTATGCTGATAGAGAAGTGAATGCAGTTTTATGCAATGAATGCGTAATTTGTAGAAACATACAGTAAACACCTCATTGGGAAGTGCTAAAAAGTTCTGAATATAGTGTGCTTAAGAATTTAAATAAATTTCATTATAATGGGCTTCTGTGTAAGTCTTCCTCATTAACTTTAGATTATTAATCCAAAGGGTATTGCCTAGATTTTTCACCTGAAGTTTTATGTTTTGAGATGTGTTTTAAACTGAACAAAATATCATTGGTTCTTCAGCTACTATTAGGAGAAAGAAAGAAAAAAAAATAGAAAATTGTAGAAACCGTAATTTAATGACCACACACACCTTGCCATCACTTTGCTTGGAAACAACACATGTACCTGTAGTCTCTGATCACCTCAGACATGTTCAACCATTAGTATAAAATTATGTTCTACATATTTT